TTAAACATCCTGATTAATTCTACACTTTAACATTTTTGAGTAATAGAGTCAAAAATGCGTACACTTCTATAAGCACTCCAAAGAGATGGTGGCAGAAGAGGCACTAGGAGTAGATCTGCACTGACCCCAGCCAGGGGGTTAGCTGCATCTTGCATCATGCCATGTTCCTGTACTTACCTCCTTGCCATCTATGTAGGACCCTTGCTCACAGTCTGCAGTTGTTCATCATCATATGGTCAATATATAAAACTGAATCAGTATTCTTACTGGAAATGCTGTATGCTTTTCACTCACCTGTTTTGCACATTTCCAGAAATACATGGCTAGGTCTTGACTGATGATGTCTTCACTGAGGTTGATCAAACTGGAATTATTTCCACCAGTTTATATGCCCTGTGTGTATTCAAATCTTCTCTGTGTTGGCTGACAACTGGAATGCTTTCTTTGTAAATAAGAAAGGCATTTTTTCAAGAAAAATTATATTCTGTTGAAATTTTTTCAAACACTGTTCTGGATGCCAGTCACTTGATAACTTTTACTTTTTAATATGAACCAATAGTTTTTGTGAGGGAAATAGATTGTGGCTGTGCAGTTAATAACTAGTTCAGTTTTGTACTTCATATGTACATTAAGAGCCGTGCTATATCCTGGCATCCAGCTAGGAAATTCTGCGTACAACTAAGTAATATGGAATTGCCCACATTGCAAGCTAATAATGAAAGCCTGTCTTAAAGAAAACTGTCCAAATTCTGTGTGTAAAACTGAGATGCTAAAGTTTCTATGGCTTTGTTTTGACTAAAAGTTTCATTTTCTATTATATATAACAGCACACATATCCACATGAGGGCACCAGCTGACATCTTATTCTCAGACCAATGTGTAATCTGTTTCTGAAATGAACACGTCAATCAATGCTCACTCCATCCTTACACTTACAGAGCTAGAGTAAAGATTGAACTATTAAATGTTACAGTTCCCAAATTTTGCTTTATTCTTTTTCGGTTTCTAGTGCAGCAATATTTTTACTTTCCCTAAACTCTACATTCAACAGAAATCTTGAAATAAACTTTAATCACGTAGAGATGTGGGGATGTTAAGTTTTTAAAAGAAAGAAAACTAAAATTCTTTTTTAACCTGGCTGCATAGTGGAATGTAAGTGAACTCTCATTAAAATTGGTAAAGTTTATTATTTCTTAGCTTTGAAAGGGGAACAAAAATCACTAGGTTTTAGCCTCATTTTTATTAAATCCATAAAAAGGTGCAGTCAACACCCATTTCATTTGTAGAAGTTATACAATCTTTTAGAAAAAGCAAAGAGTAATTGGTGCTCTACTATGGGTTAGGCTGAGGATTCAGGACCAAGAATGTCCACTTCCTT